CTCTGTCGCGCTTATTACCATAGCATTCGAGAGGTGAGAGCGCCGGCCTGTCACCGCTGTGGTCCCGGAGTTTGTTTTGAGTTCGTTTCCGTTCTCTCCCTTGAACATTTCCATCCTAGCTGTTCTCCGTGATCAGATATGGATCGGTTGGTTGGCTGCTTTGTGTGTGTGTTGTAACTATGCGATTGTACTCATTGATTGTACTCATTTGATTGAACCAAATTCAAACCAAATACAAATTAGCTAAATGAACCCCATTGTGGGACAAATCAACCTCTTATCAAAAGGATATCAACCAAATGAGCCATATTATGGGAATATTGAGCCACGAACTTGGATATTTGAACCCAACTATTTAGTTGGAAATACTGAAATACTAATTTATACATGTATTTTTCACTAGTATCCAAAGACTTACAATGTTGATGTAAACTTCTAGTTTACAGATTACAAAGTTGTATTTATGTTTTTGCAAGTTAACGTTAGTGGAATTGATTGTAGTACTTTGGTATAAAGATATCATTTCCACGTTCTCAGGTGTTTCACGTGCACATCAGTCTATCAACAATTCAGAAAGTCGTTTGATGTCGCATATTTTAAAGGGCTACAATCCAGAATTACGACCTGTGAAAAATTCTTCCACGCCAGTGAATGTAAAAATTGGTCTCATGGTTAAGCAAATCATTAGTGTGGTAAGTTGACTTGCAACYCTATTGAACTTAATAAAAAAATCATAAAAAATGATATCATTAAAATGTAAAACGCTCTCGTATGTCCCTTTTCACTGATATAGGACTGAGATTAATAGAAACCCCTATGTAACAAGTATAAACATCTTCAATCCCCCCCAACAATGATTTCCAAAAAATCAAGAGAGATTAAAAGAAACACGCGCTTAAAGTCCGTTACATTCACGAWTAAAACATATTAAGGATATGTACTCCAAGAAGGGTAGATCTGTACTGTGGAAGCACGCGAGAGAAAACCACGAGGGAGTAATATCTGACTTTACTTGTCGAGTAACCTATACTTAGACAAGTTAGTGAAGCTGTTGATTAACATACAACAAGCCAAAATRAACATTATAGAAGAATGGAACTTTTTGAACATTCCGCGCGCAAGAATCACTTAAATCTGGGTACTCGCACTCCCTTAGTGTTTGTTTTATTCGTGAATGTAACGAACTTTCATTAGTGAACATCTATAAAATCGTTGTGACYAAACCAAAATGGTTAAGCTGCTAGGAATCGTCTCCTGAAACAAAGAGGCACATAGAAAAAGACTTTTTAAAAAACGTTTACGATATACTCTATGACAAAAACGGGAAAGTATTAACAAAACAATATATTAGTAATAATAATTATAATAACAGATCCATTTGGCTTTATACAGGATTTCAGYCATCAAATTTTGACACTTCACGTATGGATACGAATGGTAAGTACTTATGGACAAAGTGTTTCTCGTGYTGTGTTTTTATTTCTAATGCGGAGTCCTGTTTAGTTTTGGAAAGATGAGTTCATCACTTGGAAACCTGAAGATTATGATGGTTTAGACTCGATCACTGTTGATTCTAAAAATCTCTGGGTCCCAGATATTGCTCTATACAATAGGTAAAACAGCATTTAATTCATACCAATCTATGCTTGTTGCTAATGATCGCGCTTTAACAGGGCCACTGAGAATTGATGCATTCAGCCCATTYGTCTACAAGTGAATATATTTTTCTATGATCTGATGATCCATTGAGACCCACCCAATCATCCATCAATCTATCGATTCATCATTACAACAGAGTATATAAAACAGCTTTTTCACAGAAAACACTGAATGCGTTAGCAAAAGAYATCACAAGTCCTACAATAAATAGGCTCCAATAAGCTCGACTATAGCTCTCATTGGATCAACTTCGGCTCTCCGCGAAAGAAAATAGATGGTGCGCGAGATTCCAAAAATTAAYCGCAACTCCAAGGACCAAAAAGTAAAAAAAAAAGATTGTTATAGTCACTCTCGGTGACTATACATACATTAGGGTGGTACTCTTCTAACAGTCTGAGCATACTTTACTTCACTGGTTTTTAAAAGGCCTCTCTTGTTTTTGCGAGTTAGCTACCACTTCACTTTTCGGCAAAATTGGCCGTCTTATGGATAAGATGCTTACGCCTGAAATTTCGCCAAATTGTAACGAATTGTAACAGCTTAGCGATTGAAAAGGTCACCTTTTCAAGTTGCAAATGATCGAAACTTGTTTTGTGCTAAAAGGTCTCATAAGTGCGTTAAGACTAAAGACACGTTGAAGTCAACAAAAAGTATAAGAATTTTGTTCTTCTTCTATTTTTGTGTCTATTACGAATTAGTAGACACTATGCTATCGAGTCGAATGCAAATGAGTACGTAAGAACTTTGTGTAACAATAGAATGACGTCAAAATGCAATCAATATCCCTTCGGAAGACCCATAAACACAGGAATCCCTYGGTAGCGATCGGCAGAACATATAACTTTAGTACGAACGACCTCCGAAAATTCTCGCAACCAATGTGCACCGATCATCTTTGCCGATTTGCGAACAAGTTTGTAAAATTCCTCGTGGTAATTCACTGTTGTGGAAGTTTGTAATTTGYCAAGTGCAAAGGGACTGTATTCTTTCTTACACTCCTTATTCAACTACGTTCAAACACTAATTTTAATTCACAACTCTCTCTCAATGCTGGTACTCATATCAAGGTACTTACAATTAKTATTATTAATTATTATATTATATTATGAATGTCTACTCTTAGCGGACTAGTTCTATATATTCCTTGCAGCTTGATGCTATTTTTCATGTTTTAGTGCATCAACCAAGCCTGGTCAAATCAACTTCGAAATGCTGTACCGAATAATTGTCGGGCATACCGGAGACGTTAAGTGGAGTTCACCAGCAATAATTTCCTCTGAGTGCAAAATTAACGTCAAGCATTTTCCCTTTGATGAGCAACAGTGCCTTCTGGAATTTGGTTCGTGGGTATTTCATGGTGGCAAGCTCGATGTTTTCCTACATTTACAACATGTTGATAAGGAAAGCTATTCAGAGAACGAGGAATGGCTGTTTTATGATAGCAAAGCTGAGCGTCGTGTCACCAAGTACAACTGTTGTCCAGAACCTTACCCAACTGTTGTATTCACTGTGATGCTAAAGAGACGAGCAATGTATTATATGTTGAACTTGATTATTCCATGTGGGCTTATCACAATCGTTTCACTTTTTTCCTTCATTTTGCCACCCAACTCAGGAGAACGAGTGTCACTTGTCATCACAATCCTCTTAGCCCTGTCAGTGTATATGATGATAGTCACTGAGAGCATGCCGCACTCAGCTGTGACTCCACTGGCTTCCAAATTCTTCCTGTTCGTCATGGTGCAGCAAGGCCTTTCGCTCGTTGCAACCTGCTTCATCATAAGGTTCCATAATAATGACACACCACTTCCAAAGTGGTTTGATGTTCTTGTAAACAAATGGATGGCACGATTACTATGGATGTACGAAGAAAAGAAATCCATTTCTGAACCAGAAAAAGACGATCTTTTCATACAAAGATCTGTGTTTGTCAACAAAGGTTCAATTTGTGACGATGACAATGGTTTTCAACTCAAGCAAGGAATTAACAAACCAAAGGAGAAGAGTGACAACAAAGAGAACTTGCAAACTGATAACGGTAAACTGAAGCAAAATTTTGATAAGCTATTTGGTGAGGTTAAAGTTCTTTCTGACAAGATTCGCAAAATGAGTGCAAAAGAGAAGCTTCAAAACGATTGGATGTTTGCTACGACTGTGTTGGACAGATTTTTTCTCAGTGCTTTGATTATAAGCATTTGCATCGCCTTCTTATCGATCTTTTTAGCTGTGCCAGAAAGTGCCATCTTAAAGTAATTAAGATGGTTTTTAAAGTAATTAAGATGGTGGAATATAGAATACCCAAATTAAGTCTTGTCCCTTGTAGAACCAGATAAAATATGCAAAACCTATGTAAATGCAATGTACTGAAGCTTTGTAAAATATATATATAACTATACATATACATTTATGCAAATACTATGTATTTGGTATAGTAAATGCTATGTATAGTAAACACAGAGCATTGGAGAATTCGAAACTTGATTATTCTCGGTCTCGTATCGAATATAACTTTGAAACTCATTGACGGTTTGAAAACGTGGAATATTTTTCAAGGAAAATGTCTCATGGCGAGACTTGTTCGATGTGTTTAACACACGCAATAGTATRTTAGTACTGTTTACCGGCATCGAATTCAAACCACAATATTTTTTGAATATATTAATTACGAATGGAAACCTCGAGATCCTTTGCAGGCTCAAGACTGTGGAATGTGTCGTGGTGACGACAACGTTTTTT